CGAACTAGTGAATCAAACAGACTTAAAAATTTAGGTCATCTATTGCCGAAAAATCGACGGATCGGAAACTGCTATTCGGCTGTTATGTATAGACCTGAAATCTACCAATTGAGCAAAACAATATAATTCTTACAGCGTTTACGCGTAATTTCAATACCTGCTAAAGCTGTTATATGTTTCATTTAATATTTGTTTAGAAACATGTCTCAGTATTAGTTTCACGTGATCCAAAACGTTAATTCTGCACATCGGTTTTAGTTAATCTGCGAAACGAAATCGGGTTGAAGGAAGAATTCATGGAAACTGAATTTTGTATAAATAATTTTAAAATTACATCTTTTCCTGATGGACAAGTATCTATCGAAATAATGAATCAAACAGACTTAATAATTTAGGTCACCTGTTGTCGAAAAATCAACGGATCGGAAATTTCCATTCGGCTGTTATGTATAGACCTAAAATCTAGCAATTGAGCAAAACAGTATAATTGTTTCAGCGTTTACGCGTAATTCTAGTACCTACGAAGCTGTTATATGTTTCATTTAATGTTTGCTTAGAAACATGTCTCAGTATTAGTTTCACGTGATCCAAAACATTAATTCTGCACATCGGTTTTAGTTAATCTGCGGAACGGAATCGGATTCAAATGAAGAATTCATGGAAACTGAATTTTGTGTAAATAATTTTAAAATTACTTATTTCCTGATGGACAACTATCTATCGAATTAATGAATCAAACAGACTTAAGAATTTAGGTCATCTATTGTCGAAAAATCAACGGATCGGAAATTTCTATTCGGCTGTTATGTATAGACCTAAAATCTAGCAGTTGAGCAAAACAGTATAATTCTTTCAGCATTTACGCGTAATTCTAGTACCTGCTAGGCTGTTATATGTTTCATTTAATGTTTGCTTAAAAACATGTCTCAGTATTAGTTTCACGTGATCCAAAACATTAATTCTGCACATCGGTTTTAGTTAATCTGAGGAACGGAATCAGATTCATATGAAGAATTCATAGAAATTGAATTTTGTGTAAATAATTTGAAAATTCCTTTCTTCCAGATAGACAAGTATCTATCGAATTAATGAATCAAACAGACTTAAGAATTTAGGTCATCTATTGTCGAATAATCAACCGATCGGAAACTGCCATTCGGCTGTTATGTATAGACCTGAAATCTGCCAATTGAGCATAACAGTATAATTTTTTCAGCGTTTACGCGTAATTCCAATATCAACTAAAGCTGTTATATGCTTCATTTAATATTTGCTTCGAAACATGTTGCAATATTGATTTCACGTGATCCAAAACGTTAATCCTGCATATCGGTTTTAGTTAATCTGCGGAACGAAGTCGGGTTGAATGAAGAATTTATGGAAACTGAATTTTGTATAAATAATTTTAAATTACATCTTTTCCTGATGGACAAGTATCTATCGAAATAATGAATCAAACAGACTTAAGAATTTAGGTCATCTATTGTCGAATAACAACGGATCGGAAACTGCCATTCGGCTGTTATGTATAGACCTGAAATCTACCAATTGAGCAAAACAGTATAATTCTTTCAGCGTTTACGCGTAATTCTAGTACCTCCTAAGCTGTTATATGTTTCATTTAATGTTTGCTTAGAAACATGTCTCAGTATTAGTTTCACGTGATCCAAAACATTAATTCTGCACATCGGTTTTAGTTAATCTGCGGAACGGAATCGGAATCAAATGAAGAATTCATAGAAACTGAATTTTGTGTAAATAATTTGAAAATTACTTATTTCCAGATTGACAACTATCTATCGAATTAATGAATCAAACAGACTTAAGAATTTAGGTCATCTATTGTCGAATAATCAACGGATCGGAAACTGCCATTCGGCTGTTATGTATAGACCTGAAATCTACCAATTGAGCAAAACAGTATAATTCTTTCAGCGTTTACGCGTAATTCCAATATCTGCTAAAGCTGTTATATGTTTCATTTAATATTTGCTTCGAAACATGTCGCAATATTGGTTTCACGTGATCCAAAACGTTAATCCTGCATATCGGTTTTAGTTAATCTGCGGAACGAAATCGGGTTGAATGAAGAATTCATGGAAACTGAATTTTGTATAAATAATTTTAAAATTACATCTTTTCTTGATGGACAAGTATCTATCGAAATAATGAATCAAACAGACTTAAGAATTTAGGTCATCTATGGTTGAATAATCAACGGATCGGAAACTGCCATTCGGCTGTTATGTATAGACCTGAAATCTACCAATTGAGCAAAACAGTATAATTCTTTCAGCGTTTACGCGTAATTCCAATATCTGCTAAAGCTGTTATATGTTTCATTTAATATTTGCTTCGAAACATGTCGCAATATTGGTTTCACGTGATCCAAAACGTTAATCCTGCATATCGGTTTTAGTTAATCTGCGGAACGAAATCGGGTTGAATGAAGAATTCATGGAAACTGAATTTTGTATAAATAATTTTAAAATTACATCTTTTCTTGATGGACAAGTATCTATCGAAATAATGAATCAATTTAGGTCATCTCTTGTCAAATAATCAATGGATCGGAAACTGCCATTCGGCTGTTATGTATAGACCTGAAATCTACCAATTGAGCAAAACAGTATAATTGTTTCAGCGTTTACGCGTAATTCCAATACCTGATATAGCTGTTATTTGTTTCATTTAATGTTTGCTGTGAAACATGTTGCAGTATTAGTTTAACGTGACTTAAAACATTAATTCTGCACATCGGTCTTAGTTAATCTGCGGAACAAAAGCGGATTTAAATGACAAACTTATGGGAACTGAATTTTGTTTAATAATTTTAAAAATTACTTTGTCTTGTGATTGACAAATATCTATCGAACTAATGAATCAAATGGATTTCATTTCGGTCTTGTCAAAAAGTCAACGGTCTGATAACTGCCATTTTGCTGTTATGTATAGATCTGAAAGCTGCCATCTTATAAGATCTTTAATATTTTTGGCTTTCTAAACACTATCGACGTACTTTACAAAGCTCTTCTTTTGTATGTTTCTTTATGATTTATTTGAGAATGTTACATTATTAGTTTAAATGATCTATGATGGGCAAATCTCTATCAATGTAATTATTTAAGGAAAATTAATATTATTTAATAAATTTAAGGAAAATAATATTTTTTATTATTATGAAAATGTTTAACCTGTCTATGTTTAATTTTAATAGTCTGTTTCTTTGCATTGAAGTCTATAATATGCTAAAATGCTCACTAATACATGAAAGAGAACGGACTGAAAGAGAAGAAAATTTATTCCATTCTGTTTTTTTTAATATTATGCTAGAGAAAAAAAAGGAATGTATCATAATTAATCAAATATGAATTTAAAAAGGAAATATTTAATTTAAGAGTTTAACACGGCTCTGTAATATAAATATAAATTTAAAGTGTAAGATAGGCAACAAGAGCCAATTGCGGAAGGCAGCGCGCTATCCCAACGAAACTAAATTTTTTCGTTAAAATTAAATATCTGTGCACAAGGCACCAAATTTTTACTTGGTCACTGCCAAGATTTAAAATATGAAATAATCTCATATTTGAGATTTAATTTCAATAACCCTTTAACCCCCCTACGGAAATAAATAAATGCAAGAGAAAAATATAGATCCGAAAGTCGCTGAATCGGGAATCGAACCCGAGACCTTTCGCTTGCCGGGCGACTGCTCTTCCAACTGAGCTATTCAGATCCCTTCGATTCTATACTTTTCTCTGTTATATCTATAATAATGTTGATAAACAAACGCCTTTAAGCCAGCGTGTATAAGTTAAGAGTTTAACACGGCTCTGTAATATAAATATAAATTTAAAGTGTAAGATAGGCAACAAGAGCCAAGAAATATTTAATATTTTTTTTGTGTACAATTTCTTACATTGTACTTAGGATTTCAGCGAGTAATTTAATTCTTTTTTTTATATATTATTATTCTACCCTTTTCTATGCAATTCTTTTTTAGTATCCGCATTTCTAAGTCTTTTTTTTTAGGCAACAAGAAAGACGATCAAATATTTAAATCTTGACCCTGAATAAAACATATATGTATGTACTTTTAAGAATTTGGGAAATATGAGATATTTTGAGATTGTAAGTAAATTATTAATCAAAATATTAGTAAATTAGTAATGTATTATATATCTTATCGTATCTTATCGCATCTGTTACAAGGTAAAAGTAATCACTAAATAATAAATAATAATATTAAACAATAATTAATAAATATTTTTCATAAAATTTATTATTAATACACACTCAAAGTTGTATTTCTTTTTTTGAGGTAATACATTATAGGGATTTTGTTATAACAATATTTTATAAAATATAATTTATTTGTTATACCTATCACATAACAATGCATTTTAACTTTTTCTTAATACAGTCTTATCACTTGTATCAGTTTTATATAGCACTTTAAGGAAAGAATCTTTTAATATTATAATAGTTTGCAGATTTAACAACAGAAAATATTGTACTACATTGTACTGTTTAACATACATCAAAATCTCATCTGATATAAAATTTTTCTATTAACTATAATACATTTTGTAATCTTATATCTATTACAACAATCTCTTCATAATACTGTAAATTCTTTCATAGTTTGGAATACCAGAATCTTTTTTTCAAAACTAAATTATTGCTTAACATACTAATAAAAAAGACTAAAAGTTTAGCCACATATATTATAACAAAATTTGCATATAAATGTACTTAAACTGTATTTTCTTAGTTATAGTTAAAACCAAATTACAAGAAACTTAATTTTATCATGTTGTATAAAATTTGTGCAAAAAACTTTTATTAAGCACGTTAATATATTTAAAAATAAAATAAAAATTGATAAATTTTTTATTTAAATATTTTTGAGTTAAGTAATTTTATACTTCTAGTTATTATTATTTTGAGAATATTTAATAATAATTTATATTTAAATTTATATTAAAAATATTTCTGGGAGGATAATATATTATGAAAATTAATTAAATCTTTGGAATTTTTGTTTTACCACTTATAATATTATGAAGCCATGTCTTTATCTGCGGCACTGTGCGTTTTTGTAGACATGAATGTTTTTGTCTTAAAGTCTCAATATCTCTTCCAGATGGTAAGCGTGATTTTTCTATTTCTTGAGAAAAATCTGTTAATATTATTTGAATTTCTTTTTGCGTCCATCGCTTCCTTTTAGTTGGCCCAAATGGTGATGCTAGCAATTATATTATTAATTTATTGAATAACTTAGTACAGCTAATTATTATATAAGAAACATATGTATAATTTATAAAATAAAATATTAATAATATAAAATGTTTACTTAATATGCAGTCCAAAATCAAATGCAGGAAAGATTATTAGCTCATTCTTGAAATCATTTTAAAATAAAAATCTTATGATATTAAAATCTTTAGGCTAAAATAGTTTTTAAATGAGAAGCATTTAAAGTTATTCAATCATCTTTATTATTGTACGATGTACAGTGACTGTACAGTATACAGTTGACTGAATAGCGCAATGACTAGCTAACTTTTAATGTTTTAAAACTTATTATAGCCTCGATATTTTGTTATAGGATTTTCATCTCAAAATGATTTCAAGAATATGCTAGTAACATTTGATACGTTTACTCTAGGACACTTTGCATATTAAAATAATGTTAAAGTTATTAGTTAAGATAAATATTAAAGAAAAGGTTATCATTTTAGTAATTGTAATAATTACAGTTATTATTTTTTTATAGAAAGAGAGCTATTATATATTATTAATATATTATAAATGTAACAGAAATTACAAAATAAAAATTTTATTATATAATGCAAAAAATGATTTAAAATATATGCTTACTGCTTCGTTTTTTCTTAGGTGTTTTTGATGATGGTATATTATTATTAATTTCAATATCATCAGAATGAGAGGATTCAGATGAGTCATTTAAATTCTCAGAAATAAGATTTTGCTCAATTTCTCCATCTTCATTGTCATTTTCCTCATTAAAAATAGCTAGATTTAGAAGTCGGGAGAATCTTGGAATATCTAATTCAGGAATTGACTGTCGATAATGCGATTTGTGTATGCTTTTATCATGACCCATAAAGTTTGCCAACTCTGTAACTTCCGATTCTGAAAGATTAAGTGTGATGCATTTTGTGGCAATATGTTTTCGTAGTTTGGTGCCTCGTAAAGTAAGAGGTTTTGCTGCTCCACATTTTGAAGAATAGTCTCGCATAAGAATGCACGCTTTCAAATGCTTGTTTATCGTATCCAGGAATGCCAAAAAGGTAAGGGTTTTCTGATTTTATTTTTGCATTTAATCTATGTTGCAGTAATAATTTGATGCAATCTTGTAATTGTGAATGCAACAATACGGGAACTGTACGACCTAGTTTACCTCTAATATCAAATGTAACGAATTTTTTAATAGCCTAATACAACAAACAGAAAAAAATACATAAAAGAAAAATTATTATAGAATAAATATAATAAAAGTATTATAAATTTTATGCATTAAAATTAATAAAATATAAATAATTTAAAGGAAGAAAAATATAAATTATTAGATATAAAATATATTTTAACGCAATAATTTATTTATTTAATAATTATTAAAATAATATTACCTCTTTTCCAGACTCTGATAATGAATTGTACACTTCAGAATCTGTGTGTTCTCCTACACTTTTAAAACTTTTGTAATCTTCTATTAGAACTTTTTCTATTTCACCTGCTCTTCTTCTGTTATAAACTTGCATAGAAATAAGCGTAACTTTTAATAATTCTAACCATGTACTGTAATTATAAGATTTAAGAAGCTCACTATACAATATGTTTCTTTCTTCTTTTAAATAATTATATAATTTCTGGATATCCTCCATATCTGGTAATTCAATTTTATTATGTCTTTTATTTTGCGTTACAGTTTCCTCTGCTATTTTATTTATTGTTGCTCCATAATCTTCTTCTAAAAGTTTCAAGAAATTTTCTACCTTTCTTAAACCCTCATTATCATCTTTTTTTATATATTCAGTACATAATATGTTTCCTAATTTTTTTAAGAGCGTACCAAGTCGTGTAGCGACAGACGGTGTTTTAAATTTATTAGTATCAGGATTAAATTGAGCTACATCTTTAGCAGCTAAAATGCATGAATCATAATTGCACGGTTGATATATTGAGGCAAAATTAGTGATATTTGAATTAAATTTCTTAATAGAAATTAAGTAACGACCTAAAAGTCTTAATTCTGCTCTTATCATATCATGGTGGCGTTGATTCCTAAATTTATTACATAATTTATTTGCGCGAAGTATCACTAACTCATCATATCTTATTATTCTACACACATTGTCATCTCTCATAATTGGGAAGATTACTTTTCTAACCATATCACTGGCTTTAGTGTGTATCCGTGCTTGTACTTTTCTACCAAGTACCATAACATGTCTGCCAATACTTCTTTTGTTACAATTTTGAAAGTGATGTCTTACATTATTTTTTGTATAAAAGCCCTTACACTTTGGACAACAAATATATTCTGATGCAAGTTTGTTAATTTTCGAAGGTCTCCGAGATACTATCAATTCTCCTGTATTAAACTGCGAACTAGTATTATATATAAAATTACTTTCTTTTCTAATAGTCTCTATGATGGCCTTTCTTTCTGAATTACCTAAGAAAAATAATATAAAAATAAAAGAAAAATAATATAAACATTTTTTAATAAAGATATGTATAATGCAACATTTGATTCAAAATGATGTGTATAGATTATTATATATTATATTTACCTTTAGGAAGCAAAATAAATTTTTTTACCTCTTCCTCATTTTTATGAACAGTCTCTAAGTGTCGTGCAAATTTAGTTTGTAATTTTTTGCAATACTTGCAAAAATATTTTTTATTTTGTCCTTTCTCTTGAGATTTAAGCACAATAAGATTTGTATCATCACAATTTGCTTTTTCTTCATATTTCGAGGTATTAAGACTATCATTTGTAGTATTAGACTTTTCATTTTTATCAAAGCTTTCAGAAATAGAAATATTTGATTCATCATCTGAATCATTGGAAACATCATAATCTGGATCATTATTGTAATCCTCACTGTCTTCATAAATATTGTCTGAAATCAAAATGTATAATTTTTGATGTAATACGTAATGAATATACATTAATATGTTATATTAATGTATAATAGATATATATATATATATATATATTAATGTGTAATAGATATATATATATATATATATATATATATTATTTTCAATATCAATAATTATATCAAAGATGCAAAAGAGAAAAATAGAATACTTAGAATACTTAAAATACTTAAAAATAAATTTCAAAACTATTATACATGCTATATGTTTATAGAGAGCTTTCTATAATATTATTAAAGTTATGAAAATTTTTAATTGTAATTATTTATAAACAGATACCTTATAAGTTCTTCAAAAAGTTCAATAAAATAAAGAATTTAATCTAATTTATTAAATTATCTGTTTGATTAATTTATCTTTATTTACATATAGTTCTTAAGGATTTTTTAAAGATTTTGCTCGTGTATCTAATATCAAAACTTTGGCATGACATTATATAACAAAATATACATACATATTAATCTATTAATAATACATTATATTAAAATAACCATATTATGTTCGTTATAAAATTATATGTAACAACGTTTAATTTGGAAGCAAATAGATATAAATTGTATTGTTACCTTGTTGATTAACTGTTGTTATTTGACAAAGTTTTAAAGTTTTATTTTGAATATTGTCTTCTGCAACGTTAGAATTAATACCTACGAGAATAAATCATAATAGATTAACTAGTACATACATACTAGATTAACTAATTAGCAATAATTTTTTAACTATAATAATTAAATAAAAGAAGTTTCTCTCTCACACATATACACACTCTTTTGTATAAATTCATTATATCCATACAATTTATGTGACATATGACCACTCTAGTTTACATAAAAACAATTAAATTATTATACAATACTTTACCATTGGAGTCATTTATTATTTCTGTCACTTCCTTATATTGAGCATTTATTTCTACTAAAGTAGTAAAAGATGAATTCAATATATGTTCCAAAGAGATATCCTCGTTCATAGAAAAATTAATATTTAAATCTAAAAAATTATTAAAATTCATGATAAATTTGCTTGTAAATTAAAATATTTAATTAATATTGTAATATTAATTAAACAAGTTAACTTCAAAATGAAAATAATAAACTGAATATGAATTATAAATATTATTTTGTAGATAGGCTGTTTCTTCTTTATTTAAAATTTAAAATTTCCAAAAATTTATTCAAAAATACAATTGTAACAAAATTAGTATCATTATTATCAAAAATGGATATAGAATATTTATATTTATATGTAATAATGCTTAGAAAAATTAATATTTAAATCTAAAAAATTATTAAAATTCATGATAAATTTGCTTGTAAATTAAAATATTTAATTAATATTGTAATATTAATTAAACAAGTTAACTTCAAAATGAAAATAATAAACTGAATATGAATTATAAATATTATTTTGTAGATAGGCTGTTTCTTCTTTATTTAAAATTTAAAATTTCCAAAAATTTATTCAAAAATACAATTGTAACAAAATTAGTATCATTATTATCAAAAATGGATATAGAATATTTATATTTATATGTAATAATGCTTATCATGCAGTTAAACATAACATTTCAATATTTAAATTAGTTATATTACCTGTATTATCAATTGTTTTATCATTTAGTATTTCAAAAAGATTAGTTTGAGAAATACTTGGTTGAACATCTAAAAAATGAACTAATACCAAATAATGTTATTATTTTTCTGTGCATGTTATTTTTATGAAGAAATAAGTTTATATAAACATGAATCAAAACGCATACCTTGTTGATTATTTTTTTCTGGAGATATTTCAGAAATATTTGGTTGAATATCTAATAAAGGAACTATAATTATTCCAAATGATTGATAATTAATATTTTTATGAAAAGAATATTAAATAAAAGATAGATAAATATCTCAACTACATACTACTTTTCTACGCATATTACTTTTATGAAGAAATAAGTTTATATAAACATGGATCAAAGCACACACCTTGATGATTACTTTTTTCTGGAGATATTTCAGAAATATTTGGTTGAATATCTAAAAATGGAACTATAATTATTCCAAATGATTGATAATTAATATTTTTATAAAAAAAATATTAAATAAAAGATAGGTAAATATCTCAACTATATGCTACTTTTCTACGCATATTACTTTTATGAAAAAATAAATTTATATAAACATGGATCAAAGCACACACCTTGATTACTTTTTTCTGGAGATATTTCAGAAATACTTAGTTGAATATCTAAAAAAGGAACTATAATTATTCTAAATGATCGATAATGAATATTTTATGAAAAAATCTTAAATAAAAGATAGCTAAATATCTCAGCTACGTATTGCTTTTCTACGCATATTACTTTTATGAAGACATAAGTTTATATAAACATGGAAACATATCAAAGCGCATACCTTGTTGATTACTTTTTTCTAGAGATATTTCAGAAATATTTGGTTGAATATCTAAAAAAAGAACTATAATTATTCCAAATGATTGATAATTAATATTTTTATAAAAAGAATATTAAATAAAAGATAGGTAAATATCTCAGCTACATACTACTTTTCTACGCATATTACTTTTATGAAGAAATAAGTTTATATAAACATGGATCAAAGCACACACCTTGATGATTACTTTTTTTTGGAGATATTTCAGAAATACTTAGTTGAATATCTAAAAAAGCATAAATAATTATGGCAAATGATTGATAATTAATATTTTATGAAAAAATACTAAATAAAAGATAGGTAAATATCTCAGCTATATGCTACTTTTCTACGCATATTACTTTTATGAAAAAATAAGTTTATATAAACATGGATTAAAGCACACACCTTGATTACTTTTTTCTGGAGATATTTCAGAAATACTTAGTTGAATATCTAAAAAAGGAACTATAATTATTCTAAATGATCGATAATGAATATTTTATGAAAAAATATTAAATAAAAGATAGCTAAATATCTCAGCTACGTATTGCTTTTCTACGGATATTACTTTTATGAAGAAATAAGTTTATATAAACATGGATATCAAAGCGCATACCTTGTTGATTACTTTTTTCTAGAGATATTTCAGAAATATTTGGTTGATTGCTTTTTTCTATATTTCTTAACAAATTAGCATCAATATCTAAAAAATAATTTGTATATTTTTAGAAGAAATAAAATTGATATAAAAAATAATATAATGATATAAAACTTTTTGTCACCTTCATTACTTTCCATAGAACTTGAAGTGATACTTAAGTCGATTTGTTTTAAATATATTTTTGGTATATTATTCCTCAGATTTTTAGCAATTTCTTCAAGAGCCATATAACTTTCTTAAAACAATATTTGTATACAAAATTATTACTTAACAAGTATTATCCAGTAAGTAACAGTAATATAACCTCAATGTTATAATTTCTCACTAACTGTTACATAGATAGAAGGCATATTACATTGTTGCAGTTACAATAATAGTCAGTAGAAAATTATAACATAGATGTTATGTTATTATTTAGTATTTAATGTAATTTAGTTAGTATTTAATGTTTACTGGATACATAGATATAATTACATATATAAAATTTTACATAATTTTATCTACTTACTACTAGATATTATCCATCCTCTGGTTTTTCTTTTTTTTTTACGCATTATTTTATAATTATTTTTATTTTTGCTCAAAGAATACATTGTGTAACACTGTGTCTCACAAATTAAAAGAGGTTATTTTACTATCTATTTCTTAGGCTGCATTCAGAAACTACACTCAAAACACAGTGACAGCTATAACGCGGCAACACTTGCTACGCGGCAAAAAACGATGCGATAGTCAATCAACTTACAATTTTTCCATTTATTTTATTTTTTCCATTTATTTATTTAGTATTTATTCTTCTAAGATCGACACTTAGGCCCGTATTCATAATCCGTTGTTATATTTAAGATCATCTTAAGACCTCGTTCAATCAATCAAATGGCCGCATAGCATCTTTTGATTGGTTGAACGATGTCTTAAGACAATCTCAAATATAAGAACGGATTATGAATACGGGCCTTAATGAGTTATTAGAAGTTCGTAAGGTCTTAATGAATTATTTAAATCACATGGATGTATGAAAAGCAAAAGTATTAAAAGATCTGGCGCAAATGATAGGTTTATATAATATATACAGTAAAATGGTAGTTTACAGATCAATTAGTTTTTAACAAAAAAATATCAAAATGTTTAAATATTGATCTTATTTTAAAACATCTTTAATTATTTTTCTTTAAAAACATACTAAAATTATAATTTTTACTTAATTATTTATTTATATTTGCAAAGATGTCTAACGGCAGTTTTAAAAACATATATAGCAAAGTTGATTAAAAGACTATATATTTACTTTATATAAGATTAATCAAGTAATTAGTACTGTAACTAAATTGTTTATAAATATATACAACATATATAAAGCTTATCTTGTAAATAATAACAATTAAATGTATTTAGTATAAAATTTTTATATTTATTGGCAATTTTAAGGACTTTATATAAAGAAATTAAAGAATGGTAGTTTTTAGGACAGTTCCTAAAACTGCCGATAAACATATATGGCTTTCAGGACTGACTTGAAAACCACCAAGAGTTCTCAAAACTGCCGATTTATACCAAAAATCGTCCCGAAAGCTACCTCTTGACATATATATATATATATATATATATATTTATATATTTATATATATATATATGAGAGAATGAAGGAATTGCAGTCAGTGAAAATTATTTTTTTATTTCTGAAAAAAAAAAAAAAGGTTTTTAGAACTAAAATGGAATATTTGACGGATACTTCATCAATCATTCTTTGAAAGTGAAAGCATAAAAGTTAAGAGAGCTAATATATAATATATATATATATATATAGGGATGAATGGGGGAATTGCAGTTAGTAAGAATTATTTCTTATTTTCTGAAGAAAAAAATTTCTATAGAACCAAAATGGAATAGTTGACGGATACTTCATCAATCATTTTTCGAAAGTAGAAGCATAAAAGTTAAGAAAGCTAATATATAATTGAGCCTGCATTGATTAAAAAAACCTCTGAATTGACCACAATTGACCGACGTGTTGGGTAATTACGGTCGCCTTTTGAGGTAATGCCAGCTGGTCGCTAGCAGGCAGGATTCGGTGGTATATTTTGATTACGAGCTTGAAATCCATAAAACCAATCTACGCCAGCACACTATTTTTCTTTATTAAAATTATTGGGGATTTTGTGACGTTCAGCAAACTCAAATGCTGCGCCGCGCACTTGACGAGGTGTCTGTCTATTTATATATATATATATATATATATATATATAAGGGAGAATAGAGGAATTGCAGTCAGTGAAAATTATTTTTTTATTTCTGAAAAAAAAAAAGGTCTTTAGAACTAAAATAGAATATTTGACGGATACTTCATCAATCATTCTTCGAAAGTAAAAGCATAAAAGTTAAGAAAGCTAATATATAATATATATATATATTTATAGGAAAGAATGGGGGAATTGCAGTCAGTAAGAATTATTTTTTATTTTCTGAAAAAGAATGTCTTTAGAACCAAAATGGAATAGTTGACGGATACTTCATCAATCATTCTTCGAAACTGGAAGCATAAAAGTTAAGAAAAGTAATATATAATTGAGCCTGCATTGATTAAAAAAAATCTCTGACTTGACCACAATTGACCAACGTGTTGGGTAAATACGGTCGCCTCTTGAAATAATGCCAGCTGGTCGCTAGCAGGCAAAATTCGGTGGTATATTTTGATTACGAGCTTGAAATCCATAGAACCAATCTAGGCCAGCACACTTTTTTTCTTTATTAAAATTATTGGGGATATTGTAACGTTCAGCAAAATCGAATGCTTCGCAGCGCACTTGAAAAAGTGTCTATATAAATTTATATATATATATTGTGACTTGATAGACGTATATTATACGTATGTAAAATGTATATATAATGACATATTATTAATGACTGAATAGATGTATATTATACGTATGTATAATATACATAAATTATGCATTATTTACTACTAATATACATATATAATATACATATATATATATATATATACATATTTGAAATTATATACTACGTAAAATGTACTTATGCTGACATATTATTGATGACTGATAGATGAATGTTACACGTATGTAAAATATACATAAATATTGCATTAATATACATCTATATTACAATTAATATTCTTATACAACCGCCTTCTGGAGACCATCCGGTCGAGCATCAGCTGGGCGGGACGACCGGCGCGCGGCTACCAGCAGACGAGCACTAAGTGCTGGGTCTCCGCTGGAATCCGCACGAGGACACCTTCTCGCTGTCTGTCCGGCTGACTCCAGCGGCCCTACCGACCAAGCAGACCGTACTGGCACAGACCGCTCGCCTGTTCGATCCGCTGGGCTGGCTAGCACCGATTCTCGTACGTGCGAAGTTGCTGATCCAGTCGGCGTGGTTGCAGCAACTAGAGTGGGACGCGCCGCTATCATGCGAGGACGCCGCTGCATGGACAGTCCTCGAGGAGGAATTGCCGTCGCTGGAGGAGATCCGACTGCCACGCTAACTGCACAGCGACACACCATACAGCTCCGTGGAGCTCCACGGCTTTTCGGATGCCTCCGAACGTGCTTACGCTGCCGTGGTCTACAGCAGAGTGAAAAGTGGCGGACTGCTCAGCATCAACCTAGTGGTCGCTAAGAGCAAGGTGGCCCCGTTGAAGAGTGTATCGCTTCCGCGACTGGAACTCTGCGGAACGG